GTCACATTTCACAGTTACAATTTATGATACAGATCAACTTCCCTCAGGTAGTTCACTATCAGATGAGCGCTCACGCGGGAGAACAGATCTTTCAGGTTTCTTGCATCATAATGTGAGTCCCTTGCAGACGATAAGTCCACGCATTCGAGCAGAATATGCTTGATGGTGAAAACCAAATCGCAAGAGACACACATGGGGGGTCCATCCCCATCCGTTTTCAGCAGATAGTCATGAGTAAACCGACTGTGGCCAATACGACATCGTCGTAAAATTACCTCATCACGTCTTGACTGACAACCCAAGTAGGTATAACCAATTGTTGGTTTCAATTCATACAGTTTATTTCTTCCTACTTGAGTGTCCCATCGTTTTTGCATGAGGTCCCGAGTATAACTTTTGTTTGAAATCACTGTACGGGATCAGCAGGGAGATAAGAGCTTGTCAAGAGCTGCTTTTGCTGCAGCATCGGCTTTTGTGTTACCTGCTATGCCGACGTGACCCGGCAACCAGCAGAGGACGATGTCACATTGGCCAGTAGAGAGGTCGTTGTAAAGTTCTAAAATGTCCAGAATGATTGGGTGACTTGAAGTAACATTTTGAAGTGCTTGAAGGCAAGATAATGAATCTGTGAAAACGATGAAGTTTTGGAATGATTCTGCTGTTTAATATAGGTCAAAGCTGAAAAGATAGCTTTGGCCTCGGCAGTGAAAATGGAAGACGGAGGACGTCGTGGGGAATGTTATACTCGAAACCGTTTACAGGAAGTGGACTGGTTTTCCATACCGGTAGAAAAAACTTGGTTGACGTCCAGGGCAATTTAACGGAACAATCTTACACGATGAAATTCTTCGGCCACTCGTCCTTACCATTATGCAACAAGCAAACGTCGATGTAATAATTCCTTTTAAAAGTTGCTGTTGATCACTGGATTGTCTGGTCCACTCTCGACTTCTTACAGTCCGCCGCCATATATATGTATATATATCAGCGTACACTGATATATATGTATATGGATATCAGTGTACGCTTGTAGGACCCAGGACGTATTATTTTCAGCAATACAAGCCCCTGTGGCTGGAATGTTGCTGATTGCGGCCTTAGAAAGAGAAAAAATACACACAAAAAGCCCAAACAGTAGAAACAGTTAAAACCGAAAATAGGACCACAATCGTGAAGAGAAACATAGAACCTGAGCCTTTGGCACCTCAACCACTGCTTTAACCAGGGATACTCTACAACCTTATATAGTCTCCCTGCTTTAACCAATAACCGCCAAGCTACTCCACTGTCCCCTTTGTGTAGCATGTGCCTGCATTTAGTAATCTTTACTTTATCTATCTACGATATATAGCAGATTTAGAGAACAACCAACCAGGTACGAGTGATTACGGGAAATATGCCCGAGTTGAAATAATGTTCACAGTGCCGAGCCTTTATAACCTTGTTGCCATGCAAAAAGGCCAACCTTGTTTTATTTATTGCAACGTCAGGATCTGCTTCCTTTTAAGTCGCTTGTTTCTGTGCCAACAGTTAGTCTTTATTTTCTTATTGTTTATCGTGTCCCTTCAGTAATTGCCACAATATAATGTCAAATATTCAGAACCTAATAATCCGGTCTGTCATGTTTAACCTTCTCTTTCAGTGTTTACACTGCAACTCGTGTTTCTGAGATAAACATACATGGAATAGTCAAAATAGAGGAATCTGGAAACGTAGACACTTTTGGCTGAAAACGATGGCTTAAGTGTTCAATTTTGTACTGATATCAACTTTTTAGAGTGAGTGTTATATTTTTACGGCTCACAGGCACGATTTGGTGGTGAAATACCATATAGCCAGCCGTTCGGGCTGCCATTTGCAAACAGAGCACGAGGTTTGTTGTTGAACGCCGCAACACTCCTGCTAGATGACGGCAGTCTGTAGATATTCGAGTCTGTACAATACAACCCAGTGGTCAACATCATGAGCATCGGCCCACACAGGTAAAATACGGTGACATATGTCAACAAAGTCTGAGTCTGACCAGACCCTGTTAGTCGCCTCTTACAAGCATGGGTTGCTGAAGACCTGTTATATCCCGGATCTACACGGTCCTGCAAATCCTTGAATAAATAGTGTTAATCTTGCTGTTATAAAATCTTATCACGTGTGTATTGTAAAATCTAGAAGAACCGAAATATATATATATAAATGCGTGACATGCTGTGTACGTAGATGTATATAAGTGTACAACAGTATCATGTGTGTGCATGTATGTGCATGGATGCACAAGTTTGTGTTGGTATGGCTTAACTGTATATTAGCAATGGGACGGGTACAGCTGTTTGAGAAGGGGGGGGGCACTCTTTTGAGAAAGGAGGGGTGCACACTTCATTTTACGCGAGTTTCAATGGTCATTTAATAAACTTTTAGGACAAGGGGAGCACGCACGCACACGCGCACACACTCACACAAACACACACACACACACACTTTTGGATCTGCCTGTATAGCTTCAGACCATTTGCAACAGTTAACCAAACCGTGTTATTTTACGAGCAGTTTATATTTATTCATTGAGCTGACTTTTACGCCGCTTTTATCAATATGCCAGCAATCTCACGGCGCGGGACACCAGAAATGGGCTTCACACAATGTACCCATGTGGGGAATCGAACCCGGGTGGAGAAGTTTTCAGATAAAACTGATCATCAATCTCATTCATCTTTTGAAAATATAAATACAATATATGAAATCGTGACCCTAAATTGTGAAATCGTGGTAAATTTCCAAACTTGGTCTCAAGACAGGTTTCCCCAAGCACGAGGCAAATGGGATGCACCTCTGTAGGGGTGTTAGTTGCATGAGCCTTATTCACCCATAACATGTTGATCATAATTATGAAGATTAAGCCCATTTCTGGTGTCCCCGCCGTGATGTTGAAATGGGCTTCAATATTGCTAATTCGAAGGTCGGCGTAAAACCAAACTCAGTCAGTCAGTCAGTCAGTAATTATGAAGATCATAGGAACACTCATCCGAGCATCATCAAGATCGCCGTGGTTTTTTCGTAAGTGCTTACTCTAAATGTGCCGTCATACGGCTACCGAGTGGATGGACAGACCCAGCAAACCCTCAAGTACAGAGCCCTGGCAGTGACGTATATATCTGACCAAAAGAAGCAACTTATACCGATGGCACCACATCCCCGCTGAGTACAGGGATGTTTCATTCAAAAGGCTTGCATGATTGCCAGATTGAAGTTCTTGAAAGGCATTTAGAAGTTGGACGAACATGAATATATGACACGTTTTTATGGATGACAACTTCTTTTTCTGCTGGGCAGTGGGGTAGCCTAATGGTTAACGTATTTGGTTGTCTTGCTGAAGACCCAGGTTTCATATATGTTATTTAACGCGGTACTCTGCAACATACCAGTAATATGACGTCGGTATGTAAATAATTGAATCTGGGTTAGACAGTCCAGTGCCCGATCATGAGCGTCGCAATTGGGCTACGGTGACACGCATCCAACACATCTGCGAACCCGATCCCGTTAGTCGCCTCGTACGACAAGCACGGGTTGCTGAGGAGCAATCCTAGCCCGGATCTGCTCGGGTTTGTAATATACACAGTTAATCAAAGGGAAGGTACAAAAGTGAATGCAGTAAATGTTTATCACGCGACAGTGCTGTAAAATGTATGTGCAAGGAATAGAATAGAATAGAAGCGAAAATGAAAATGATTTAAAAACGCATATATTTTAATAAATTTTAACTTCTGGTTTTCAGAGAAACAAGAGTTAATTGGATATGTGACCTTACGGACTCCCGCTATCATTTGGAGGAATGTAAAATTTAGTATCTTCTTAAAATACGTGGAGTCATGGCCAATCTATTTACATTTGGTATGCAAGAGGCCACTGTCGCGAGATAGCACTGCTGACTGACTGACTGAGTTTGGTTTTACGCCGCTTTTAGCAATATTCCAGCAACATCACGAAGGGGACACCAGAAATGGGGTTCACACATTGTACCCATGTGGGGATTCGAACCCGGGTTTTCGGCATGACGAGCCAACGCTTTAACCACTAGGCTACCCCACCGCCCCTAGCACTGCTGAATATGAAACTATTAATGGTCAATATCGTCGTATAATCATCCTGAACTTATTCAATAGATTTTGTATGCAGTTTAACGCCGCACTCAGCATTTTTCCATCAAAATGACGTCTGTTTGTATATACCACACAATCCAGTGATTCATTTCATTAGCATCGATTCACCAGTTCAACCAAGTCAGAAAAACCTGACCACCCGATCCCTTTAGTCGCTTCTTACGTCAAGCATGGCTTGCATAGGACTATATTTAACCCGGGTGACAACTGTTCTATAGTAACTCCCCACATACATTTGTCATAGCCACCGATTCTAGAACCACTGTTGACCTCAACATGAAATATTTGCAAGCACATGTTCGCATGTTTATACGTTTCTGTATATTGGTTGGCCACCTTGAATCCAGAGAACTGATTGGACCTTGAATTCTGTTTGCGGATTTATGGCCGTTTTATAAATACATAAATAAATAAATACTTCACGGTTTTCAGTTTTGGATATCATTTTTTCAAACATTCAACAGGATATTAAAATTTCACGTTTAATAATTGCGTTCTCAGTAACTTAAAAATATCACAAGAACCGATATAAAATAATTAACAGATTGTGAATCATTCGCAGGCTCAATTTGTCATCGTAGTCAGTCAGAGTTACCTACCGTTCATTGTCATCATGGGGCCTTTCTAAGAGTTGTTCTAAAAGAAATTGTATCTGAAATATATACATTTTAGTCGTACCTGCTCATATCATATTATTATCTATAGTATCTATGCTATTATAAATACAAATCTCTGTAACATTTATAGTCAGCTGATGATGAACTCATGCACATTCACGTGAATAACAGAAATAATCAATCCCTCGGAGAGCCTCAAATGACACCTCACCCTTGAGGAATTCCTAATTGTGTCGCTAGAGGGCGCTACGATCACAGGTGTGTGACCCACATTATTTTCTATGCTAAGCTTCAACCGCCATAGAAAGACGGAAGTGGACTAACTACAGGTAATATTTGTGTAATTTTACGTATTATGTTGGCACATGTAAGGTATTGCGTTCACCTCACCTGCATACCGCATCAGGTGAACGACTTCAATAGGGCCGATCACTCTTTGATTCTACCTGTAATCAGGTGTTTTACGTTTTGATAATAAACTGGTTTAAAATGTGAGGGATACACGGTACGGTATTACACCTGATATGTCGTTTACCTAGCATACTTTCATGTATTTAGTAAAGCTTACTGACATCTTATTTCCTTGTGTCCTGATCTAAGAGATCTAAATCTGATATTTGTTTGTAGAAATATATGTATTATGGATAGCACTGAAGTATGAATTATGGAAATAGTTTGGGTGAGTTTAGTGTTTCGGAATTCCCTGTGTCATGGCTAATGTAAGAAAATATTCCACCCCAACCAAAAATGAGAGGTATTGTATCTGAACGCCGGGGTATTGTTGTGATTCCCTAACAATCGAATTTACCTGTATCATAAATTTTCAGTAAAATGACACAGCAATTTGCTGTTCACGTTCTCGGCAAAATAAACAAAGTCCAAGGACTCTAAGTGCTTTTTTTTAGCCATGCTGTATTTTTCATAGTTCACTTTTTCCACTTGGTTCCAAGCACTAACGCTTTTTAAAACAGGTAATAACTATTAGAAACGCACCACCCATATAATACGATATATTCCCGTCACACTGAAATGTGCCCATGATATCTGAGCATCATTGGTGCATTTTAGTGTTGTGCGTTTCTAATGTTCAGTATATATTAGAAATTATTTATGCTTATAATGGAGTTTCAAATGACAATTTGTGCTTAATTTTCATTAAAATAAGAGTTTACATGTTCGTGCCTGCTTTCAATCTGCAATGAAAACTCTGTAACCTTGGATACATTGTTGAAAAGGCAACATTTAATTGTTTTCTTGCTTTTATGTTAAAAGATGTGTCAATATTCAGATTATATTAATGTCTGTAAATACACTGTACATGTTACTGTGCTTGGTATTTTCAGCTATACATGCTAGAATGGTGTGGTGGAATTAATTGAAAAACTCATGTTTGTTTAAATATTTCTTAAAATTTTCACTGGCAAGAGATCATTGTCATGCCTGACAGTAATTAGCCAATTGTGAATATGTCAATTTGACACAATATGTGTTAATTGGTGCATATTAGGATGCTAATTAAAACCCTTGAGGCATTTGTCATTAAAACAATGAAGACATGGCTAAGATAATCTGTCAAATCAATGAACCAGAAAATCAGCTTATGGCCTAATTCATCAGTTAGTTGCCTTGAGGCTAGGTCTGATGTGTTGGCTCCAGACACTGAATGATCCATGTGTATTCACAGCTGACTTGTCACCCATGTGCTATTCATTATCATTCCCTTACATCTTCACTTGAGGTGATTCCGGGGTTAGAAGTTGTCCCCAGCAAGCTGGTCTGTTTGTCAGAGGTGACCAATGGCTTGGGTAGGACTTGACTGGACTAACCCTTAGCCTCTGAGGTAGTGTTGGGAATTGATTAAAATCTCATAATTGATGATTGGTTTATTACAACCGATCAATCATCGAAAAACTTGGTTAGCGTCATTAATGAAATTTGTAAGTGCACATAAAAATATGGAAAAAACATGTAGTTCTTTGGGGTTTTTGGCAAAATTTCACATCTTTAGGATGACTAGTATGTCAGGAACTTAAATTTCTTGGAGTCTTTAAGATAAATTCAGTCATGACTTGAAACGAGCTTGTAGTGCTTATGAAATGTAACAGACAAAACCAACCTTGTGAAAAATATTGTTTATGAAAACAAGTGTTCCAGAATTGTTTGTGTTCGATTATGAGAAGGGGGTGGTGGGGTAGCCTAATGGTTAAAGCGTTGGCTCGTCACGCCGAAAACACAGGTTCGAATCCCCACATGGACACAATGCGTGAAGTCCATTTCTAGTGTCCCCCGCCGTGATGTTGCTGGAATATTGCTAAAAGCGGCGTAAAACCAAACTCAGTCAGTCGATTATGAGAAAACATGATCGATTGCTTGGTCGTTTAGTCACTGCGACCAATCTTCGATTTTCAATTAATCGGACCACCACTACTCTGAGTATATATGATTTTGATAGAAATAATTCCATTTAAATTGAAAAGGAGCCCCAGTGAGATGGGAGATTCAGGTCTAGATTTGCATCATTAAGGGTTAGCATTGCAGTGATAGATTAAATCTTGACTATTAGTGTTTGACTTCCTGTTTTTGTGTAGAAGCCTTGGTGGCTCAGTGGGTTAGAGTGAACCAAGATGATCTGATTCTAATGAGATTGTGATTAAACATTATTAGTGATTGGAAGATGTTTGTGAATAATAACTGCTCTGAAAGTCAGCATTGTTAGGGTCTACAATGGGGTAGACAGAAATGTTTTGGACAGTTTAGATTTTCAAACTTAATGGTGCATTTTTACAATTTCTGGGGGACTATATCCAATTTTCTGTGTAGTTTTTGATGTATACATTACAGAGTTTAACAAAGCTCTTTAAAACTGGGAGTCCTGGGAACTCGGGGCATATTGTTTTGAGAGTCCTTTTCCAAAATTGGGGGGTCCATCAATTTTCATGAAATCAGTGATCTTGTATGCTTCCTATTTGATAATGACTAAAATATCTGTTACTTTCAATGTCAGTAGAATAATGATTGCAAACAGAATGTTTATATTTTAATATGGGATATCATTACAAACTCAGAAAGTTCTTTCCCAGACAAAAATTATATTGCATCCGCAAGGGCGTAATGGATTTTGCGTCCAATACGCAGGAATCACGCGTCCCGTAAAACCCTGCATTACCCAGTCATTGTGCAGAATTGCATACAATAAATCTGTTATATGAAGTTTGGATCCGTTTGGATTGAGGGCTCTTGGTTGGCCTGCACCAGACACATGCTTGTGACTTTCACAGCAAAAAACATCATAACTAGAGATGTGACGATACAGAAATTTCATGATACGATACGTATCGCGATATCAGGGAACGATACGATTCGATACGATGCATATCACAATATGCTATCTTTAGTTATTTTCTTTAAAAAAGTGTATTTTGATAACAAGAAACAGTTTAAATTTTGACATAACCGTCAATTTCTGGTGAAAATTCACAATTTTAAGGTCAACGATACATATCACGATACGGAAAAAAGTATTGATATATTTATGGCCAGAAAAAGTATCCCGATTATCGATACTATGATATATCGTCACAGCTCTAATCATAACATCTGCTTCTTCAACAGTATGCTGGCATTTTATAACTGAAAGACTGCTCAAAGTGATGATAAACCACCCACTCAGTTTTCTGATAATTTTAATTTTCTTTTTTCCCAGGGAGTGATGCCAGGATGCTAAAACCACTACTAGCATTAAGCTTGGTACTGTCTGTGCAGGCACAGCAGCTGTTTGGTAAGTCTACATACTTGCACTCAGAACAGAAGAGAGCATGTTTATAGTTTATATAATAGTTCATATCTACAGCATTGTTTATTTTATACCTGTGAAAGGTGTTTAATAAGTAGCCATGGTAAGTCTCAACATATTCAATTTCAATGTACCGGGTACTTCAACTTCTGTGCTAGTCAAAGAAACATTGATTTGATGTTTCCATAACCAATACTTAATACGAATTTAAAAGTGAGAGTGATTATTGGTTAACATTGTTATTCTTTCTTATTTTCCCCTGCTATGTCTGACTCTGCCCAAATGTTTCTGTAATAATAATAATAATAATAATAATAATAAAACGGGTGAAGTTATTCACCAAGTCTGCTCAGTCGGTCATTTGTGGAGAAGCTTTCTGAGAAGCCGTTGCATCGTGTGTACATGCAGTGTGTGGAACAGAATAGCAATCCCACTGACCCCTTCGCCTGGATGAAGTCGGCTAGTCTTAAATGTGAAACCGAGGGCTTTCTTTTGCTGCCCAAGACCAGTCACTTTCCACTCACAATCGCCTAAATGTGATTCTTAAAGAAAATATTAATATGAAATGTCCATTGTGCAATGAATTTACAGAGACTGTCCAACACCTTGTCAGTGGATGCCCTTCCTTGGCACAAACAGCATATATACAGCTAATATGATGAATGTTTCTATCAGGCCATAATATTGCATGATATAAAAGTGTATTAATTTAACATGTCAGAGAGAGTGATATATATTTACAAAATGACCCCATGAAAATTCACTAGCCAGTCGGGCCAGATACTGTGGAGATTTACTGGCCCGACTGGATTTTACTAGCCACGGGCTAGCGGACCAGTGGCTATTTCGCACACTGAATATTACGGATGTTATGATTTACTCGTGTGTTTGGTGATCAGTTATTCATGATTTGAAAGGAAAGTTATTACTGATCTTATTCATCAAAGTGAAATAATGTAATGTATCCAAGCCAGGAAGAATAATACCCAGTTCTCATATGTATTTATTTTTAGAGTAATATTAACGCTGTTTATTGTCATGATAAATTAACACGGTAAACATGGTCGAAACATGTCAAAGAATGTATTTGGTTATTGTTTAACATATTATAGTGTATTGTACATCAACTGTTGACTTGTTTTGTATTCGTTACAAAATATTCAGGATATATATTATATTTGCCTTATAATGCAACCCTAACAGCTATCATGGGCCCAGGTCCTACTCCAACCCTCCAACCTGGGTACTCACGTTAACTGTCCCAGCTCTAAGCTGTTTTTAACAAAGAAATATATTAATGGGGTGGGTTTTTTATATGTGTGTGTATGTCGTTATAATGTTTAGAGTGAAAAGAGTGTGGTTGTATTGACATTGTGAACTGTATTGTTGTTCATTATTTGTGGCATAGTTATTATTAATATAGATTTGAGAAAAACTTCATTGTGAGATAAAATATGTATAGTTATCCCATTGAAATATTAATAGAAGGATTTTGATTGGCTGTTTCAGATTGCCCAGACCAATGGTACGCCAATGAGAACAAGTGTTACAGATTTGTAGCCTACCCTAGATCCAACTACGAGGGGGCCTCCGCCATATGCAGGGTGAGTGAGGGAATGTTGGGTTGCACACTGTCTGATTTTTCAAGCAATACCATTCGTTCCCATACATCTTCATCCTGTAGGGATTCTGGGATAGAACTGGTTTTCTGAACAGCGTATGCTTGTAACGTGAGAGTTGACTAACTAGATAAGGTGGTTCTTAGTCTGAAAGGAATACAGAATATTTCTTGCTCATCTGAATAATGTCTGTGTTTTAACGTTTGAAAAAATAAGCTAACTTTATAAACAATTTGGCCTGGGTATTTTGAAAATTAGGATAATACACTGAATAATTTAAATATGGGTTATGTGACAAAAAGATCTATTTCTAAATAAAAAAACCCACAGGTTTATTATTTCAGCCATGTTGTGTGAATATTTTTCTGTCTCTTCAACATAGCTGTTTGTGTTCTGACATGAAACCCAACTATATTGATATCCATTCCAGGCCCATTTACAGTTTTGTAACTTAATACAGCTTAATTGGTCACAGTTTTTAGTATTTGTTTACATCTTTGAGAGATTTATTAGCATAATTTCATGCCATCCTGTTTGACCTTTCAGGAGGATGGTGCTGCACTCCTCAGCGTCAATACCATCGCGGAACATCGTTTCATAGCAAACTGGTTGGAAGAGAAAGACCAGCGAAAGTAGGAAATGTTTTGATTAATTGTTTAACCACATTCTCGTAATCAGCTGTATGTTAGCATCTTGAAGGAATGTATGGAATCTGAGTGGCTTACCTCCCTTGGATGTAAATGCCTTTCTATAGCATGGTAAGCTTGTTCTGTAAGGTGGGGATAAGTAAACAGATTGTTTGTTCTCAAGTACAGCAGGGCCAGTGGAGTCGCCGAATGGTTAAAGTGTTTGGTTGTCTTGCTGAAGGCCCAGGTTTGATCCCCACATGGCTACAATTATTTAAATATACATGAATCCCGTTGATCAATGTATTAATGCTTGTCCTTCGAGTGATTGTACATCATGGTCTGGATGTATGTTCAGGTTTGGGTGTTGTTTCTTCACTCTCATTATTGATTCATTTACAATGTTTTCTGTCATTTCAGTTTATTTCAATTTCCCTCGGCAATCAATCTTGCTTAAAATATCTCAGAATGTACAGACCAGTGCCAGTTATATTCGGACAATTGACGTAACTTCCATAGACTTACATGTTAATTTAGTGTAGCATTAATAGCATTAATAATTCTACTCGGGCTCGCTTAGCAGGTGGTGTACTCGTGACAGACATCTTGTTGTGATGAATGCTCAGCTCGGTTGTAAACATTTTATACAGCTCGCTCTATTGTTATTTCTTTATTAAATCGTCTCAGTAAGTTATCTTGTGTTTCTAATTAAGAAGTGTGATGTTCCCCGACGTGGGTGTCAAGCGGCCAGTAAGGCACGCGCTAATCACCTCTCATGTGTGATGTTTGTTAACGGTCGGATTATCCGACCGGCTGTGTTGATTGTCGGATTAAAGAATGTTTTTACAATGTATTTACAATGATCACTTGCTAGATTAGATTGGTATGTCGGAGTCCGAATGCGAGAATGTCGGATTAACGAGAGTAATTATCACAGTTTAAAATGGTTCCCTAATATTTTTGTCGGATTAACGTGATTGTTGGATTAATGAGTGTCGCATTAACGAGAGCTGACTGTATTTTAATTGAAATTTGTATAACGAACCACAGTTATAACAAATAATCTAGGTGTCCCTTTCAGTTTGTTACAACCGCACTTTACTGTATCTCATTCCAGACTCTGGTTTCACTACAGAAAACCCCAATGACATTCTCTCTGTATTGTATGTAAGAATATGTTAGTGTCGGAAGCCAGTGATGTCACACCAAAGATTTTGACATCATCATATCCATTAGATTCTTTTCCCTTGAAGGTCTGGGTTAGAACAGAGACCATATAATAGATAAATAAATCTATTATATGGTCTCTGGTTAGAATGAACCTTCAGTAACCCATGCTTGTCGTAAGAGGCGACTAACGGGATCGGGTGGTCAGGCTCCCTGGCTTGGTTGACACATGTCATAAGTTCCCAATTGCGCAAATCGATGCTCATGATGTTGATCACTGGATTGTCTGGTCCAGACTCGATTATTTACAGACCGCCGCCACATTGCTGGAATATTGCAGAGTGCGGCGTAAAACTAAACTCACTCATTAGATTCTTCAGCATGTAATGTCAAAGTTCGCTACAAGCATAATGGGACACACAGTCATAGTACAGAGAAAATGGATGTCCTTGAGATGAGTGCATGGTTTCTCTTGAGCTTGTTATCACTTCCTCCTCTTTCCTCCACAGCTTGAATGATCCTTCACAGTGAGAATAGATGTTGATGAAATGTGCATGGTTTGGGGGGCTTTTGGTGTATTGAAATGTTGAATTAATTAAACATGATTCAGTGTCATTAAAATCTTATATTTTATGCCTTTGTGACGACTTGACGGCATGTACATAGACAGCTATTGCATCAGGTGATCTTTGATATACCAATCTGAATGTTCATTGGGCCAACTGCTTATAGGTTTTTCAACTGAAACCGCTTAAAATCTGACCCCTGCAATTTGGAAATGTTCATGTTAACAAAAGAAAACCAAAATGGAACCGAAATATTTCTTAAGTGGTATTACCCTGTTGGAAGTGGATGCAGTGGCTCTCAGTGACAGACACCATGGTGTATAAAATATCCACAAATGAATGTCACAGTGTCAATTTGTTAGATGAATGTTGTTTTCAAGAGATGGAAATCAGATATTTTGGCCTGAATGTACAGACAGCAAGGACCTCTTGAGACTAATTAGAAAGTTCACCTGATGTGACTGTGGACTATACCAGTAAAAGATTTGATTTAAATGACACTTACATATGTTATAATGTTGAACTTGATGAAGACTACTTTAGCAATATGGCAGCATTGACATGTTGCTGATAAAGTGTCATGGTCATTCTTCATTAGGGCATGGCATGTTGATTTGACAGTTCTTGAGATAATCCACGAATGCTTTGAGCTACCGGTACTGACAATGTCTTTGCATGAATTTTGTGAAAGGATTTGTTGAAATTGAAATTTGGAGTATAAATTGGAAGATTCCATTTTGGTTGGTAAGAACCATGTTGCCTTGGTAACAGAAATGCCATTTTAATACATGAATTGTTGCAACAAATGTTTACACCCACTATTTTTTGTCTTGAAATGTTCATTGTGTTAATTTCATAATTTCATAATTTATGTTTTGTTTCCCTTTCAAATTGTTCAAGTTTATTTTGGTTAGTACTGCACATCTACCATTTGTTCCATCATTGGTTACTTTGATGTCACAGTCAAATGACATCACTGATCTTTCTGCTGCTGAAGCTGGTTAGCTGTCACCGATCCTTGGATCCCTGGTCATAACTCTTTACGAACTGGACCCTTGAAGATCAGGGATAGAATTGATCTTCAGTAACCCATGCTTGTCATAAGAGGCGACTAATGGGATCGGGTGATCAGGCGCGCTGACTTGGTTGACACATGTCATTGTATCCCAGTTGCGTAGATTGATGCTCATGCTGTTTATCACTGGTTGTCTGGTCCAGACTTGATTATTTACAGACCAACGCTGTATAGCTGGAATATAGTTGAGTGCGGCGTAAAACTAAACTCACTCACTCGCTCATTGTATCCCAGTTGCGAAGACTGATGTTAATCACTGGATTGTCTAGTCCAGTCCCAGTTATGTACAGACTACCATCTTACAGTTGGCATATTAACATATGGCGTGTTAAAAACAAACGAACATATGATATCAAACTATACTTAGTACTATTTGCTTTAGATGTACTGCAGCCATTATTGTTCTCCTCATGTTCGTTGTGGCTGGGGAGTGGGGTGGTTTTGGAAAACAAGCATTCAGAGGTTACACTGAACACCTGGGTTTCACTGAAAACAAGCATTCAGATGTTACACTGAACACCTGGGTTTCACTGAAAACAAGCATTCAGATGTTACACTGAAGACCTGGGTTTCACTGAAAACAAGCATTCAGATGTTACACTGAACACCTGGGTTTCACTGAAAACAAGCATTCAGATGTTACACTGAACACCTGGGTTTCACTGAAAACAAGCATTCAGATGTTACACTGAACACCTGGGTTTCACTGAGCTTCATAAGCTTCTGATGTGTTGAGTCTGTTCGTGTTGCACCTTGTCAGGATATGAGTGGCTAACAGCATCATCAACCCAACCTGCGTGACAATTATAGTAACAATTGCAGATGCAACATAAAATGCATTACAATGCCTTTCTGTTTTTTCCTTGTTTTATGGATCCACCAACCTATTAACTTACGAATTCACGACAAAAAGTTACAAGTTTTTGCAACTGACTGTAAATAACACGTTGCCAATGAAACGAAATATATGAGATTTCTATTTGACCATACCATAATGTTTTGCAACAATAAGTTGTCTTTCATGAGATGTGATTCATGACATTTATGATTACCCAAAGCAGGCCAAGATCTTATGGCCACCTACCAAACCAAATTGAAATAGCCCTGTCCAGTGCATCTGTTCTTTTCTTTTTCTGACCTACTTTGGACCCAAATTTTCCCTGTAAGGTCCATATAGCGAAAGAAGGAAAGACTGACCTAAACAACATTTTTATACAAGATTTATTTTGTTATAAGGTGTATTGTGTATATCAATGCTTATGCTGTTGATCACTTGATTGTCTGGTCTAGACTTACAGACTGTAATATAGCTGGAATATTGCTGAGTATGGCGTTAAACAGCAAACAAACACACAAATTATTAGGATCGGAATGAGAGTGTGTTCTGCATGTGTTCATAATTTCCTCTCCCCAGAGACGAGTGGTTCACTAGCGGTCAAGTCACTATCGGGACTTCTGGGGGAATCAGCTGGAGCGGAGATGGAACCTTCTCTCGGGGATTCAGCTTCTGGCTCAATGAGTCATTCGCCTTGGAAGATGGTGCACGGGTCATCTATGCATTTGCAAGTAATGGACTGCCATATTGTCTGATTTCTGTTTATTTTGGGTGTGACATTTTCTTAAAAATCTGGATCACTTTGGATGCTGTTGATGACTGGATTGCCTGGTCTCGGCTCATTTTTTACAAACTACCACTACATAGCTGGAATATTAATGAGTGTAGCATTAAACAACAAACTAAACTTAAATACACTGCTATAATCGCAGGTAACAACTATGGCTGGGCAGTGACACGCACCACTGGAGAGTTGTCCTTCATCTGTGAGATTGACCAGACCGAAGCCTATAGGATTGTCCAGGAAGATAGAGACTTTGGTAAGTCTTTCCGTTGACATTGCCAGATCCATTGGGATTCTTGTGAAGCTGAGCAATCTGTTTGTCCAAGTGAGTGAGATATGTACCTGTGTTGATGAAATGTACATGGTTTTGGGGTTTCGGTGTAGTTGACTGTTTTTGCCATTCCAGACTATGGTTTCGCTACTGAAAACCCCAATGACATTCCTCGGGGACCCAAGTTCCTTGTCGAGCCATCCGACACAACAATCCTGGGCTCCACTACTGCTGTGTTCATGGAGTGTGTCGCCCATGCTGTCCCCGACGCCAAGTACCAGTGGTATAGGTTTGTGGGTAATGGAACCTTTGCACTGGATGCTTCGACTGACAACCGCTACACTCTGACCAATGGCCGACTGACGATCAACAATCCAAATACTCGTGACGAAGGCTACTATCAGTGCAAGGCGGAGAACTATCTCGGAGTAGCTCTCAGCAAGACTGCCCAGCTCTCCTTTGGAGGTAAGTTGATAAAACAGTTTACACTTACTCTTTAGAGAATCAAACTTGGGGGCGGTGGGGTAGCCTAGTGGTTAAGTGTTCGCTCATCACGCTGAAGACCCGGGTGCGATACCCACATGGGCACAATGTGTGAAGCCCATTTCTGGTGTCCCCCACCATGATATTGCTGGAATAAAACCCAACTCACTCACTCAGTTACTCACTAATCAAACATGGACAGTGATCATCTTGTGAAACATTCTTACATTGCAGCTTGTAGTAACAACTTGTAGATTGCACCACAATTCCAACATCAGAACACCCAAATCTTAATCTTAAAGCGCATGCAACTAGTTGCAAGCAAGTTTTTAGAAAGGACTTGTCCTGATTCCAACTACAAGGCACAGAATCTTGACCAGTCTGTTTGCTGAAGCCATGTCTTGTGTCCCCTGTCCCTGCTGGAATATTCCTGGAATACTGCTAGGAGCAGTGGGAAACCAATTCACTGACCCCTAATACATGTAACTCATAATACATGACACATCAATTAGGGGGTGTTTGGGTACCTAAGGATCTACTACAGAGCTGCCATCTACTTAATGGTAGAAGTGGTCCAGTCCACCATATCACATGTCCTTTTAATGAGGTTCTGAAGCATTAACTACTGGTGCAAAGAAATAGATACTTCTAGCCTTATAATGAGGTTCTAAAGGCATTTACCTGTGGTGCCAATAAGTATATTCATCTCGTTTTATAATGAGGTTCTGAAGACATTAATACTGGGTGCCTAAAGTACAGAAAGGGGACGTCAGTTTGGGGAGGTTACCACCCAATGATGCTGTCCTAAGGTCCTTTCACAGTTAGCGTATTTCAAACTTAGTGTATCATCACCATGCAGATATTACTTTAGAATTGAACACTGCAGTCTATGACAATCATGAGAAGTGACCAATTGATTGGCTTGATTGATCAGTCATTGGATATTCTGGTCAAGACTTGTATCTTTACTGTATGTTGTATATTATTGATTGCAGCATTCAACCAGAAGCAACTAACTTTATTGTTTTTTTAATGTGTCTTGAATTCTTCAGATCTGGGAGAATTCTCCAATGTTGGTGTGGCACCGACTGTGACCAATGAATACGAGGGTGCTCAGCTGAATTGTCCTCCAATCACAGTGAAGCCAGGTAAATACTTAACCACCTGTCATCTGTTGTTTTCAGATGAACCAAAATGTCACATCTCACTAGTTTGTTTTGTAACAGGAAATGTATCATATAATATTGACCAGGGTCTGGTCAAGTCCACATCCTGAGTAGGGAGACAAACTTACTTGTTTATGATCAACATTTCTCCTCTCTAATACTGATACTTTTGATTATTTCTGTTGGTGTCTGGAAAAAACAACAATCTTTGGTTGTGCTTTGGTATGTTAACCCTTGAGATGACAATTCTTTTGCAAGATTGGGCAACATCCAAGTCCAGTTTTTCCTGACCCCTCTACCCTTGGCTTTATAGCCTCAAGTCTGTCGTCATTAGAAATTACTCATACTTTGTCCTTTTCAGCATGATAAGTTATTTGTAGAGAGTGAGGGTCTACTAAACTTCTTGGTACGAAAATCAACATCTGAACGATTTTATTTGAGCTTGAAACAAAAGAAATGAGTCCTTTTTGGGCATGTTTTTTTATTGTTTATTGGGGGTTACATGGGGAGAGAAATCTACCCTCCGTCAAAGAACAACAAAATTGATTGACCTCATGTGGAACACTGTAGTAGAAAGTCCATTCAGAAAACAAAATGAAAGTTGTCTGACAAGCAGTGTCCTTGTTGTCCTGACCATACCGTGGTTCCTTTCAGCGGCCAAGTTTCAGTGGTATAAAAACAATGTTGCCAACTTCATCCGACCGAGTCTGCAGTCCTACATCTTCATCTCCAACAACGGCAAGCTCTACTTTTCGGAGGTGACGCGTATTGACGAGGGGAGATATCACTGCATTGTCTCCCTTACAAGCAGTGACGGGACCAGCAATTACATTGGTTCTTCTCAGACTCCAACTAAATCCAGTCTGGGTTTTAATCTTGATGTGAATTCCAAAGGTAGGTACACAAGAGAACTTTCTTACCATAGTGTTTTTACCACAGCTTTGAAGTGGCATTATTATTAACTTCTAATGTGTACTAGTTGCATATTGATGTATTAAGATTGCAGAAATTATGCTGATCTTCTCTATGTTTTGTCTGTATTTATCCATTTTTTATTTCATTGTATGCAGAGAGAGTGGTTCTGTTCTAAATGATCAACCTATAGAGTCATGGTCGTGTGATTCACAAATCAAACTGCAGCTTTATGGTTGAGCCATTTACATGATTAAGGGCAGGGTCATAGCCCAGCCAGTCACATGATCAAACTGCAGGGTCATGGTGTTGAATATGTGTGACTGACATCCTGTCCATCCTAGGAATCATGTTGTACTCTAATGTTTGATTGACTGACACTGATAGCAGCAAAATTGCTGATGCTGTAATCAATCAATCAATCAATCAATTAATCACCCCAAACTCACTCAACCACTAACTGAATTCAACCGCTCACTCACTCAACCACTTGCCCAATCACTCACTCGCTCACCCACTCACTCTGGATGGTCATCTGTGGGTGTATATTTCATATCTGTTGGTGTATATTTCATATCTGTTGGTGTATATTTCATATCTGTTGGTGTATATTTCAAAACTGTGGGTGTATATTTCATATCTGTTGGTGTATATTTCAGCTGGGGGAAACTACCGACCCATCATCCAGGATGACTTCATCTCGGTGTTCCCGTCGCAGCCCAAGAAGGGACAAGACATACAACTAGAGTGCTTTGCTTACGGAACGTGAGTACTGCTACGATTCTGGGTCTGACTTGGACCCAATGAACCTATACCACTCATACGAATACATTGATTGGGTGGTCAGGTCAGGCAGGGGCGTAGCTGCCATATAGGCAAAAAGGCAATTGCCTACACATAATTTTGTAAAAAAAATATTAAATAAAGGAAATGATAAATTTGAAAGAAAACTGTTACAGGTGAATTTATTTCAACATGCTGAAAATAATTGCATTCTAAACTTTTTGCCTACACATAATAACTGGCTCAGATACGCCCCTGTCAGGTGACTCTGTTGATTGGTCATCATGGTTTGGTAGTTGTTTAACGTCGCACTCAGCAATATTTCAGCTCTTTTGCGTCTGTCGTCTGTAAATAATCAAATCTGGACCAGACAATCCAGTGATCAACAGCATGAGCAACTGGGATACGATGACATATGTCAACCAAGTCATCGAGTCTGACCACAGATCAGGTTAGACGTCTCTTAAGTTTAAGCATGGGTTGCTGAAGACCAATTCTAACCTGGATCTTCACAGGTAGGTCGTCATGGTATCCTCATATGATTTTTAAAAAGTATGTTTGGTTATGTCAACTCAAAGTGATCAAAGTAGCAAAGCTCGCTGGCTTGTTGTTGAGGTAACCCACTTCTATCACCTAGTGGAAATACCGGTATATTTTAAATAATTGACATCATTCTCAAATTTTCTGATTCAGCTTTGATACTACAAGCACTGGCTGGATTCATTGGTGGGGTGGATTCATTGGTGGGGTGACCTAGTGGTTAAAGCGTTGGCTCGTGACGATGGAGTTATTTCTTTCTCAGCTCCCTGAGGAGTCTACAGTTTCAGGTTGCATATTCTGAATGTGTTTATTCTTTACTTCAGGGGGCCCTTGGTGTACCAGTGGAGTCGCTTGTTGGGGAAGGAGATGCCGTCACGGGCGAGGTACTCTGACCACAACCGCGTTCTCACCATCCTCAACGTTGCCCCAGAGGACCAGGGAGTCTACAAGTGCCGTGTGTACAGTTCCACCACAAAGGAAGCCGACGAGAAGGGATATTCACTCAGAATTCAATGTGAGTCAATATAAATCGCATCATCTGTTGTCTTGTCTTCATCATGTTGGGGCCCCACATGGGCACAATGTGTTAAGCCCATTTCTGGTGTCCTCCGCCGTGATATTGCTGGAATATTGCTAAAAGCGGCGTAAAACTAAACTCAGTCAGTCAGTCAGTCATCATGTTGGGGCGTTGTGGTAGCCCAGTGGTTAAAGTATTCGCTCAATATGTCTAAGACCTGAGTTTATTTCCCTTATGCGTACAATGTGTGAAGCCTTTTACTGGTGTTCCCCGCTGTGATATTGCTGGAATATTGCTAAAAGCGGCGTAAAACTAAACTCAGTCAGTCAGTCAGTCATCATGTTGGGGCGTTGTGGTAGCCCAGTGGTTAAAGTATTCGCTCAATATGTCTAAGACCTGAGTTTATTTCCCTTATGCGTACAATGTGTGAAGCCTTTTACTGGTGTTCCCCGCTGTGATATTGCTGGAATATTGCTAAAAGTGTCATTAAAAAACCTCACTCACTGGCGGTAGTGAGGTCACTGGCGTCAATGTTTTTCCCCATGACCTTGACCTCAAGAAGTGCTCAAGAGGCCTCATCTGAAAGTTTATTTTCAGTTTCACTTTCAGCTGTGCCTTCAGTGTATTTGATAGTAGAGGATGTTTTCTTGAGAATTTAGGCAATGGAAATGTGTCTTTATGCTACATTTGTTCAGGGATATTACAAAATACAGGCCTGTGAAGGTCTGGGTTAGAATGAACCTTCAATAACCCATGCTTGTCGTAAGAAGCGACTAACAGGATCGGGTGGTCAGGCTCACTGGCTTGGTTGACACATGTCATCGGTTCCCAATTGCTCAGGTTGATGCTCATGATGTTTATCTCTGGATTGTCTGGTCCAGATTCAATTATTTACAGACCGCCGCCATAAAGCTGGTATATTGCTGCGTAAAACGAAATCCACTCACTCACTCGCAAAATACAGTGAACAGTCGTGGTGTAATAATATGGCAATACAGTGTTGTATTGGATGCAATACATCAATGTACAAACCCTGTATCACAATACTGACTGACTGACTGAGTTTTACACCGCTTTTAGCAATATTCCAGCAATATCACGGCGGGGACACCAGAAATGGGCTTCAAACATTGTGCCCATGTGGGGAATCGAACCCGGGTCTTCGGCGTGACGAGCCAACGCTTTAACCACTAGGCTACCCCACCGCCCGTATCACAATACACAATACATGGCATCACACGCTGTATGGATGTGACAATTCTCTAGTGTTTCCGGATTGTCCAGATTCTGCTATTTATACCCAATGTACCAAAGCTTATATGTTCCTCAAGTTGATCTCGGGTTCATAAATGTTTAAAACTGTTGTTTCTTTTCAACACTCAAGTTGAAGTTCTTCAGCAATCATTTCTGACTCTAACTGTAATAATCTGCATGATTATTTGCTGATACTTTTGTAAATTTTCTTGTCACAGCTGAGCCTTACTTCACGTATCCTCTGAAGGACCAACACACTGACGTGGGGGGACAGTTGACGTGGCACTGTGAGGCGGCAGGCACACCCACACCCACTTACTTGTGGTACAAGGATGGGGTACATCTGAGGAATCAGACCGGCTACTTAACTATCCACCGGAACGCCCTCACCATACAGGGCTTGAACATAGAGCGGGACAGCGGCATCTACCAGTGCGGCGCTACAAACCAGCACAGCACCGTGTACAGTACAGCTCAACTCAGGGTGCTTGGTATGTATAGAACCAGTGTATGAAAGAAGCCAAAAATCCAGCCAGACATCAGGACTGGTAACTTCAAAATGTTACCATCCCAAAATGGATTTAACCAGACCAAATATGGTGAATTTACTCAGATGTATGGAACATCTAAACTTTTTACCAGACCATCGGGCTGGCTAACTGTAAATTTGGACCGTCTGTCAGAAATCTAGACCGTCTCGGGTGGTCGGACAGGCCTTATTTCATACACTGATAGCACTGGGTTTGTGTAGTCTCTGTGTTCAAAATTGTCTCTTATGGTACTGTTAGGTGGATGAAAGTCGGTGGTATTTCCAGATGTTTGTGGGTCAAGGTTTACTCAAGTGGATGTATGTCATGACATTGTCGACCGCCTCCGTGGTGTAGTGGTTAGAGCATCTGCCCGGAGAGCAGAAGTCAGCGGGTTCAATCCCCGACTGCGTCATACCAAAAGAAGTTAAAATATGGCGCTAGGCATTAATGGGTACAACAAGGACTGGTCAGTTCGGAGAGTATAATGTGTCTGAGTGGGGTATTCATGCTTCACTGCGTCATGGTATCTCAGTGGGCAAGCACTATAAAACCAGTTTCAGTCTGGGCTAGTACAAGCAGCCACACATGCACATACACATGCATGCACGCCGTCATATGAGCGAAATATTCTCAAGCACTCCGTTAAACCCAATTTCACCTCACCTCAAGGCATTGTCAGATGATTGTAGAATCACAGGGAACAATTATTTCTTTCATTTGAACAAATTGAGAAGTATTAGAATTTGACAGTACATTTTCCCAGTTTTTCTAAGGATGTTATTTTTCCATTGATCAATATGAAAATTGTGTAGTCTAAAATTTAACAGAGAAGCTCCAAAGTTTGCAAAAGACTATAAAGTCAGTTTTCACATTTCAGAATTTGCCCCTTCATTTGCCAAGCATCCTCTACAGAGGGGCATTGCAGCATCGAGTGGTGGCAACGTCACCATCATATGTGACCCCGAGGCAGCTCCTGCGCCAGAGTATGAGTGGTTAAAGGGTGGACGTAATCTTGGTCTGACAAAGGGTGGTGACTCTGGCAACCTCAAAATGTTGATGAATGGAAACTTGTACATAACATCAGTGAGAATGGCTGACGCAGGACGCTACACTTGCAAGGTGACAAATTCCATCGGATCAGCTGAAGACTCCACTGAGCTCAGCATCGTCTGTAAGTCCTACGTTTGACATGTTGATGGTTAAAGTGTGTGGGCGTGGGTGATTCATGTCGAGAAACAGTCCAGAAACCAGGGCAGTGTGCAAAATAGTTTCCAAATGTTGCTAGCCAGTCGGGCTAGCTATGCCTGAAAGTTACTAGCCCACCAAAAAAAACTGGCTCGAAGTTTGAATGTAGACACGGGTCTCATCATAAAGCTGCTAATATGATGAACATTTTTATCAGGCCATAATCTTGCATGATTTAAAAGTGTGTTATAACTTAAGAAGTCGGAGAGAGTGCTATATTTACAACATGACCCCATGAAAATTCAGTCACTGGCCCGACTGGATTTTTACTAGCCACAGGCTAGCAGGCCAGTGGTTATTTCACACACTGGTTGTGGGTTCAATTTCTGTTCCCAAGATTATATCTATAGGTTTGTCAGTACCTTTTGCCACAGTGGGTATAATATTGAAAGTCTTATTTGAAAAATTTCAGATTTGAACTTTATTTTGGTTTATTTATTTATTATAGTTTTCCTTGATGATGGCAATTTTCAAATTTTTATGCAGTTATGACATGTTTTGCTGGTTTTTATCACTTATTACAATTATTAGATGCAGTGTTATTGATATTATCATTCACATTTATGAAATGGTTGGTCATGTTTGATACTGACAATTTTTTAGATGTTGATGTGATAATTTGTTATATCCCCCGGTATATAATATGGCGCATATATAGTCAACGCCTCGTCCGTCTGTAATCATTTCATTTCCAGAGCATAACTCCAAACTATTCCATATTTTACAACAAAAATTGGAAGATATATCAAACAGAACCTATTGTGGCACCATTTGCAGTTTACAGATTTTTGGCATTTTTATTTTTCTTGATTTCCATTGAAACAATTTGGACTTAGTCTTAAGAAAATCAAGTTGGGCATTAATTAACTGTCACATGATTTGTTCTTTCAAATTTGTGGGAGCCAGGGCAATCGGTCATCTTCTGATGACTCTTGTTACAATTATCAGTTGCTGTGTTCTATGTATGGTATTCTCAATTATAGGGGTGGGTATTGCAGAGAATTTTCATATTGCGATATATTGCGATGCGAAAGCATGTATTGCGATATGTATTGCAATATATTGCATGAAGTATTTTTAAACAAAAAACTACTTATAATTGAGTTAATTCTTGATTTATAGAGCAAAAACACAACAAAATCACTTGGCTTGATTAAGCTTTAATAACAACTTTTAATCATGATAAAATAAAAATATGAATAATATTTGGCACAAATGAAACAAGGACATACAAGTTATATTGCGCAGCCCTACTCAATTATGAAATATTATTGTTTGGAATTATCTCACAGCCCAAACTGTGATGACCGTGAGACCGAGCAGCGAGGACGTGAACGTCAACTCCACAGCCACACTGAAATGTGAGGCGTCTGCCAGCCAGAACATGGACATGGTGTACTCCTGGATGTTTAACGATCACCTCATTGATGTCGACATTAATCCTTACTACAGAATGGTGAGAACAATTTTGCATTTTTGGTACCATCCGAGTACTGTTTGTAAGAGGGGCACATAAAGTAGTTGTCTAGACTACCAGTTATTATAATTTATCCATGGCTGGAAGAGCTTTTGGAAGTGAGAGGCAGTGGGGTAGCCTGATGGTTTAAAAGTGTCCTCTCGTCCACATGGGTACAATGTGTGAAGCCCATTTCTTGTGTCCCGTGCCGTGATATTGCTGGAGTATTGCTAAAACCAAATTTGCTCGCTCACTCATTTGCGAAGTGAATCTGGAGATCACTGGTGTAAACTTAAACGTTCAGACATCCATTCAAACATTAGCACAAAAGCCAACTTCAGAAATATCTGAAATATCAGGTTTAAACCAGTTTTTCACTTACATGTTGATGTCTGTGTTTTTTTCTGAATTCTGCTGCAGATAAATGGAAACAAAATCTCTGTAAAGGAAAAACATTGAGTTATAATTCAGTATCTTGATATGTTAAAATCGTTTGTTTTCATTCATTATAATAATGAATAATTATGTTATTTAATTATTCCCCACCACATGTTTAGCTCGAATTGGAATATCTTAAGAACCGTTGACTAGATTCTTTTCATATTTGGTACCTAGGTTCATCACAGTATAAGAAAGGTACCAGTCAGGTATTTAACGTTTTGTCAGCAAGATATCTCAAGAACCGTTCACTAGATTTTCTTCATATTCAACACCAAGCTTTATCTAGGGAAGGTGCAGGGTCCAGTCGATTTTGGTGACCTTCACATAATTTTCAAGGTGACGGCGACACTTTGAAGATTTCAGCATATCAAACTGCATGTTAAGATTGTCAGCAAGATATCTCAAGAACGGTTCACTGGATTTTCTTCATAGACTTTCAAGACTTCCTGTGAATGTTTTTCAATGAGCAATTTCTTTATTACTACTTTTACATATTTCATACTCTAAGACATTCATGTCAAGGTCAAAGTGTGTGTTGAAAATATTTGTGTATTTGAACAAATATAGAGCAAGATATCAAGAGAGGTTGACTGGTCATGTTTTTATTGACATTTAACTTCATCTTAAATTACAACCTTCACTTTCATTACTTCTCAGGTTTGATTTGATAATCTGCGGTGGGGGAATATGTCACCTTAGCAACCATTCATAATTTATGGCTAGGGTGGGTGATGATGATTTTAACGGGGGGGTCACCCATTTTGTACTGGGGAGGTAGTGGGGGTCAGCAATTTTGTACACGTTTCTAGGGGGGGTCAGCAATTTTGTACATAAAAATATTTTAAAATTATACCGAAAAAATATTGGAAGGGGGAGGGGGATCATTGATTTTTGTACATGACATGCAGAAATTTTAGGAGTGGTCATTCACATTGTACATGCTTCTCCAAAAAAATCCTCATCACCCCCCCTGGCCATAAATTATGCACGGTCCCTAAGTGACAATGCTTGTTATAATAACCAATAGCAAGACTATTCTTAAAATGATTAAAAACATTAATCGCATCCACTTACACTGAATTTTAGGCATTTTTCTGTGAACCAGGGCCTAATGCTGATTTGTTTTGTTCCTCCAGGGTTCCGGGTTGACAAAAGGCTACTTGTATGTGATCAATGCCCAGTTCTACCACGCAGGAGACTACACATGTAACGCTGCTACCGGACTTGACACGGAGTCAGCTGAAGCTACTCTCAGAGTACTGGGTAAGTAGGAGGTTTCCCCCTTGACATGTAGGGGATGTGTCAAAACTCAAATGTTGCTTTTCAGTGGTGACGTTACATAAATGTGATCAGACTGGCTGGGTCTGGAATTCGGAGAAGTTTTTAGTTTAGAGTTCGGTGTATTTGGTTTTATTCCCCTGAAAGTCTTGGAGAATGTTATAATCAACCCTATACAGTGCATCTTCAATAAGTCATTTACCCATGAAGATCTGGGTTAGAATTGATCTTCAGTAACCCATGCTTGTCGTAAGAGGCGACTAACAGGATCAGGTGGTCAGGTTCGCTTGGTTGACACATGTCATCGTATCCCAATTGCGTAGATCGATGTTCATGCTGTTGATCCCTGGATTGTCTGGTCCAGACTCGATTATTTACAGACCGCCGCCATATGGCTGGAATATAGCTGAGTGCAGCGTAAAGCTATACTCACTCACTCACTAATAAGTCAGTTCTTACCTAACATTCGTCTCTAGGACTCAATGTGATGTAAAATTGAATTATGGTGTTGAATTTCATGTTAACGTTATGAAATGGGGATGTGTTTGCGAAATTTCAACTTTTTACTTTTCAAAGTAGGACCTGCCTGTAACTGTTCACGTAGGCTTAACATGGGCCCAGTCTGATACACACCCTTTGTTGTGCAGAGTTGGGTATGCCAGACACTGATGATTATGGATTGGAATACCAGTCCGCCCTGATTATGTGTCTAGGGTTGACAGCACCGTATCTGGGACTGTGGGTCTCACCAAATGTCTGTAATATTGCTTAAAGCGGCATAAAACTAAACTCATTCACTCATTGGATGATAGACCTGATGTACCATGCTGTCTTTCCTCCAGGACCTCCTGGCGAGCCGGCTGGAGTCTACCAGGACTTAAAGGTCACTGACAGTTCGAATCCTCGGACAGTTAAAATTATGTGGACTGATGGAGACAATCATGGAGCAGATGTCCTGTACTACGATGTGGAGTTTAGAACCAATTTCAACAACAAGTGGAGGATTCTCAAAGAACGTGAGTCAAACTTTCTATCTGAGCTTTAAGGGACTAGACTGTTAACTCTTTCAACACATTTACTGCCATGACATTGAGTTTCCAGAGACTCTAAGGTCATAGATGAAGCCTATGTTTATCATGGTAAATATGAGCTTGTAAAACGTTATTACAACTACATCTCATACACCTTTTGAAAGATCTAATCCTACTGTTGATAAATATGAAGTTTATTTTTATAATGTTATTCAAATAATATAACTACAACTTAAATAGATTTATTTTTGTCATGAAAATGCAACTTTACATTTATAATGTCCAGATATGGTCGCCTATTTCCCGATATCAGTGGCTTTCCGCTCGGTAACATGACACAACAATGGAAATTACCTCCGTTTTCGAAGCTTCGTATGAATAACATGGGATGTTGAGTATCGTTCAAAAGCTTTGAACATCAAAAACATCACTGTACCCTTGCCGAGAGTATTTTTACAGTTGTAAGAAGCGATTTTATTGGATAAAGATTGGTTTCTAATGACGCTTTTTCGCCACAGTCTGCTATAAGGGTCGTGATTGGTCAAAATCAGACACGTGACCTAAGGCAGGCAATAATTTAGGGCAATGGATACCGTCCTCGTAAAGGAAAACTTTTAGATTTAGATGAAAGTTTTGGCTAATATAATGCTATTTTGAACATACTAAGCAAAAAATCGCTACCTATATGTAAATTATGGAACTTATTTGACGTATCGTGCTAGGTTATGACCTGTGACAAAAATGCTTCATGCATATATTTTCTCATTAAACATCGTGTCCGGCCGTGAAGATTGAGGCGGCGAGAGCCGAGATGTCACTTGTCAGTGACTTGACTTACATTACATGATCGCACAAAAAGATGGAAATAGTAATTTTATATGTATGTTTGACATCTTTTATGAATGCTGTTGTTGATTTTATTCATTAGTTTATTCAATTTATTTAATGATTTCTTCGAAACATTGTTGCTTTGCTCTTTGACAATGTTATTGTGGACCCGCTGCCGAAGCATGTGTCTGAGAATTGTTTTTTTCAATAACATTGCAAAAAATAGTTTATAATTCTAATCCTGTCGATAATATATGGTCATTTCAAATTTAATATGTGTTTTCAGACATTGTGAAAAGTGATAGATTTGATAAAAGAATCATATGTTAGTTAGGTTTCTAAAATTATATATAATTTTGATGCAACTACTGCCTGGCCGGTTTACTGGCCTACGGTGTCAGGGGACTTGTGACGTCTTGGCCGGTTTTCCGGCCTACGGTGTTGAATGGGTTAATATTTCAAATGTAAAGTTACATATTTTAAGAAAATCATCTTCCACTCTGACAAGGCTGAGGATTGGTTGGTTTGTGAAAATGTCTGAAAAAGGTCTCGTTCTTTTGATTGTTAGGAAGACAATTTCATAGCATGCAAGTCCTGAAATAAATAGTCTTGGTTCTCAGGCACCACCACATTATCACAAAGTCCATCTGACATGTCATATTTATTTCCAATAATTAAAGCAGTAATCATTTTGATAAATATGCCGTGTCTCAAATACACAACCGTGGCAGTGAAATGGTGTAATAATGTGAATAGCGAGATCCAGTATAGTGTGCAGTTACTTCCCGTGATCAGACTAAAGCAAAAATATGGCCCAGCCATTCATGTAATCGAACAGCAGCCCGGTCAATATTATACACCAAGCCAGTCACGTGACTAAACTGCAGGGTCATGGCTGAGCCAGTCACATGTTTAAACTGCAGGGTCATGGCTGAGCCAGTCACATGACTAAACTGCAGGGTCATGGCTGAGCCAGCCACACGATTAAACTGCAGGGTCATGGCTGAGCCAGTCACATGATTAAACTGAAGGGTCATGGCTGAGCCAGTCACATGATTAAACTGCAGGGTCATGGCTGAGCCAGTCACATGATTAAACTGAAGGGTCATAGCTTGACTGAAATACGGTCCTTCCAAATCGTGTTTCACTCACTCATGGTGTAATACTGTGAATAGCGAGATCCAGTATAGTGTGCAGTTACTTGCCGTGATCAGACTAAAGCAAAAATATGGCCCAGCCATTCATGTAATCAAACAGCAGCCCGGTCATTATTATACACCAAGCCAGTCACGTGACTAAACTGCAGGGTCATGGCTGAGCCAGTCACATGTTTAAACTGCAGGGTCATGGCTGAGCCAGTCACATGATTAAACTGCAGGGTCATGGCTGAGCCAGTCACATGATTAAACTGCAGGGTCATGGCTGAGCCAGTCACATGATTAAACTGAAGGGTCATAGCTGTGGCAGTCACATGATTAAACTGAAGGGTCATAGCTGTGGCAGTCACATGATTAAACTGAAGGGTCATAGCTGTGGCAGTCACATGATTAAACTGAAGGGTCAGTATTATAAACCAAGCCAGTCACGTGATCAAACTGCAGTGTCATGGTGTTAAATGTGCTTGACTGAAATATGGTCCTTCCAAATCGTGTTTCACTCACTCGCTCAGGCACGCACTCATGCACTCACTCACTCACTCACTCACTCACTCACTCACTCACTCACTCACTCACTCACTCACTCACTCACTCACTCACTCACTCACTCACTCACTCACTCACTCACTCACTCACTCACTCACTCACTCACTCTATTATCCAGGGATCCCGAGAGTTGAAGCTATGGATGACCTCAACCCAACTAAGAGACAGACGACCTTGATCAACCTGAAGTCCGGTGCAGGATATCAGTTCCGAGTTCGAGCCATGAACAGATACGGTCTTGGTCTACCTAGTGTCCCAACTAGTAAGCCTTTATTGTTAGTATGGGGGTGGTGGGGTAGTTGAGTGGTTAAAGCATTCCCTTGTAATACCAAAGATCAGTGTTTGATCCCCCAAATGGGTACAGTTATCTTCACTAACCACATTTGATGATTACAATCACAGTTATCACACTGGAAATTTGACATTTCTTTTGGAGACATAGTCTGTTCAGTAAGATCAAGATGATTGTACTTTCTGTGGCCTAATGTAAATCAAGGAAAATTGAAGGCCCAGTTTAAGCTGCTCCAAACCACCATGCAGAGTTATGTCCCTTAGTCTTGACAGTATCTGCTATTACTTTGTCTAAGGTTTAAGCTTGAATTGTTTTGAGATTGGGGCTGTGCTGAAAATGAAGCAAAGAGGTTGGTTCAGCCTTTCATTATACTCACTAACACATGTTGTACGTACAACTTAAAGAATAACTTTCCTGGCTAGGTTACCTGAATTTTGAAACTGTCTATTGAATAAATTTAACGAGTTACAGAGTTCTGTGGAATATTCAGACTAAATTTAAAATTATTCAATGATGTAATTGGAAAATGATGTAACACATTTATATTTCCATAGCAACAATACAGATTCCATCAGATAAACCATCAAAAGCACCTGAGAAGGTCGGGGGAGGAGGTGGAAAGGTCGGTGACCTCACGATCACATGGGAGGTAAGAGACTTGTTTACAGGCCATCTCAGTCAGTTATCATTACATTCTAGTTGATTCATTGATCGGTTGTTTTCTTCAGAAGATAAATCAGTAGAGCATTTCAGTGTGCTTGTTTCTGTCACATCCATATAGATGTGTGTTTATAACAGGTTTTAGTTCATGTTGAGCACTTGGTCTTTCAGCCGCTGTCTCTTGAGGATCCCCGACATCCATATAGATGTGTGTTTATAACAGGTTTTAGTTCATGGTTAACACTTCGTCTTTCAGCCGCTGTCTCTTGAGGATCCCCGACATCCATATAGATGTGTGTTTATAACAGGTTTTAGTTCATGGTTAACACTTCGTCTTTCAGACGCTGTCTCTTGAGGATCCCTGACATCCATATAGATGTGTGTTTATAACAGGTTTTAGTTCATGGTTCATCCATATAGATGTGTGTTTATAACAGGTTTTAGTTCATGGTTAACACTTGGTCTTTCAGCCGCTGTCTCTTGAGGATCCCCGACATCCATATAGATGTGTGTTTATGACAGGTTTTAGTTCATGGTGAGCACTTAATCTCTCAGCCGCTGTCTCTTGAGGATCCCCGACATCCATATAGATGTGTGTTTATAACAGGTTTTAGTTCATGTTGAGCACTTGGTCTTTCAGCCGCTGTCTCTTGAGGATCCCCGACATCCATATAGATGTGTGTTTATAACAGGTTTTAGTTCATGGTTAACACTTCGTCTTTCAGCCGCTGTCTCTTGAGGATCCCCCCGACACATCCATATAGATGTGTGTTTATAACAGGTTTTAGTTCATGGTTAACACTTCGTCTTTCAGCCGCTGTCTCTTGAGGATCCCTGACATCCATATAGATGTGTGTTTATAACAGGTTTTAGTTCATGGTTAACACTTCGTCTTTCAGACGCTGTCTCTTGAGGATCCCTGACATCCATATAGATGTGTGTTTATAACAGGTTTTAGTTCATGGTTAACACTTCGTCTTTCAGCCGCTGTCTCTTGAGGATCCCCGACATCCATATAGATGTGTGTTTATGACAGGTTTTAGTTCATGGTGAGCACTTAATCTCTCAGACGCTGTCTTTTGAGGATCCCCGACATCCATATAGATGTGTGTTTATAACAGGTTTTAGTTCATGGTGAGCACTTGGTCTTTCAGCCGCTGTCTCTTGAGGATCCCCGACATCCATATAGATGTGTGTTTATAACAGGTTTTAGTTCATGGTGAGCACTTAATCTCTCAGCCACTGTCTCTTGAGGATCCCCGACATCCATATAGATGTGTGTTTATAACAGGTTTTAGTTCATGGTTAACACTTAATCTTTCAGACGCTGTCTCTTGAGGATCCCTGACATCCATATAGATGTGTGTTTATAACAGGTTTTAGTTCATGGTGAGCACTTAATCTTTCAGACGCTGTCTCTTGAGGATCCCTGACATCCATATAGATGTGTGTTTATAACAGGTTTTAGTTCATGGTGAGCACTTAATCTCTCAGCCGCTGTCTCTTGAGGATCCCCGACATCCATATAGATGTGTGTTTATAACAGGTTTTAGTTCATGGTTAACACTTGGTCTTTCAGCCGCTGTCTCTTGAGGATCCCTGACATCCATATAGATGTGTGTTTATAACAGGTTTTAGTTCATGGTGAGCACTTAATCTTTCAGTCGCTGTCTCTTGAGGATCCCCGACATCCATATAGATGTGTGTTTATAACAGGTTTTAGTTCATGGTGAGCACTTAATCTTTCAGCCGCTGTCTCTTGAGGATCCCTGACATCCATATAGATGTGTGTTTATAACAGGTTTTAGTTCATGGTTAACACTTCGTCTTTCAGCCGCTGTCTCTTTGAGGATCCCCCTACATCCATATAGATGTGTGTTTATAACAGGTTTTAGTTCATGGTGAGCACTTAATCTTTCAGTCGCTGTCTCTTGAGGATCCCTGACATCCATATAGATGTGTGTTTATAACAGGTTTTAGTTCATGGTGAGCACTTAATCTTTCAGCCGCTGTCTCTTGAGGATCCCTGACATCCATATAGATGTGTGTTTATAACAGGTTTTAGTTCATGGTTAACACTTGGTCTTTCAGCCGCTGTCTCTTGAGGATCCCTGACATCCATATAGATGTATGTTTATAACAGGTTTTAGTTCATGGTGAGCACTTAATCTCTCAGCCGCTGTCTCTTGAGGATCCCCGACATCCATATAGATGTGTGTTTATAACAGGTTTTAGTTCATGGTGAGCACTTGGTCTTTCAGCCGCTGTCTTGCCTTGAGGATCCCTGACATCCATATAGATGTGTGTTTATAACAGGTTTTAGTTCATGGTGAGCACTTAATCTCTCAGCCGCTGTCTCTTGAGGATCCCCGACATCCATATAGATGTGTGTTTATAACAGGTTTTAGTTCATGGTGAGCACTTGGTCTTTCAGCCGTTGTCTCTTGAGGATCCCCGACATCCATATAGATGTGTGTTTATAACAGGTTTTAGTTCATGGTGAGCACTTGGTCTTTCAGCCGCTGTCTCTTGAGGATCCCCGACATCCATATAGATGTGTGTTTATAACAGGTTTTAGTTCATGGTGAGCACTTAATCTCTCAGCCGCTGTCTCTTGAGGATCCCCGACATCCATATAGATGTGTGTTTATAACAGGTTTTAGTTCATGGTGAGCACTTCGTCTTTCAGCCGCTGTCTCTTGAGGACCACAATGGCCAGCAGCTTGGCTACAATGTCTTCTGGCGAAAGAAGCCAGTAGGTGGCAGTGAATCCAAGTGGGAAACGGTATGTTAAAAACAGTGACTTGTTCTACCAGTAATCTTCTTCATTGATATTGTGGCATTGCGTTTTGGCCCACAGCTCTGCAGGTGCCTCCCTAAGCTGGGCAAGAATCTGTGATGATGTCCAATGCTAGATTTACACAGTTATGACTTTTGGTCGGTCAGGGCCCACTTACACACGATCTTAGCACTAAGATGATTGTAACTCCCCCGTTCCAACAATTAGACTTAAGATTCTCATTAAGATCGCTTATGCGAATAGGTCCTGGACCATACCTGTGTACGTTTTCCCTAAATTGTTGATACTTGCTCATGCTTTTAGTCACTGGTTTGTCTGGTCCAGTCTGAATAGACAGCAGGAACCCTGCTGACTGGTAATTCAGGGTCTTGTTTCAAAAAGCTATCGTAGCACTATGACTGTTGTAACACTATGTTACAGTATAGGAGGTAGTTGACTATCATAGCACTATGACTGTTGTAACACTATGTTACAGTATAGGAGGTAGTTGACTATCATAGCACTATGACTGTTGTAACACTATGTTACAGTATAGGAGGTAGCAAGCACTATGACTGTTGTAAATCTATGTTACAGTATAGGAGGTAGTTGACTATCATAGCACTATGACTGTTGTAACACTATGTTACAGTATAGGAGGTAGTTGACTATCATAGCACTATGACTGTTGTAACACTATGTTACAGTATAGGAGGTAGTTGACTATCATAGCACTATGACTGTTGTAAATCTATGTTACAGTATAGGAGGTAGTTGACTATCATAGCACTATGACTGTTGTAACACTATGTTACAGTATAGGAGGTAGTTGACTATCATAGCACTATGACTGTTGTAAATCTATGTTACAGTATAGGAGGTAGTTGACTATCATAGCACTATGACTGTTGTAACACTATGTTACAGTATAGGAGGTAGTTGACTATCATAGCACTATGACTGTTGTAAATCTATGTTACAGTATAGGAGGTAGTTGACTATCATAGCACTATGACTGTTGTAAATCTATGTTACAGTATAGGAGGTAGTTGACTATCATAGCACTATGACTGTTGTAAATCTATGTTACAGTATAGGAGGTAGTTGACTATCATAGCACTATGACTGTTGTAAATCTATGTTACAGTATAGGAGGTAGTTGACTATCATAGCACTATGACTGTTGTAACACTATGTTACAGTATAGGAGGTAGTTGACTATCATAGCACTATGACTGTTGTAAATCTATGTTACAGTATAGGAGGTAGTTGACTATCATAGCACTATGACTGTTGTAACACTATGTTACAGTATAGGAGGTAGTTGACTATCATAGCACTATGACTGTTGTAAATCTATGTTACAGTATAGGAGGTAGTTGACTATCATAGCACTATGACTGTTGTAACACTATGTTACAGTATAGGAGGTAGTTGACTATCATAGCACTATGACTGTTGTAACACTATGTTACAGTATAGGAGGTAGTTGACAATCATAGCGGAAGTACCATAGCCACAGGACTGATTGTCTGCAGCCATTTGTGTAGCTGTCAGTTGATGCACACTGATAACACTGATGTTGAAAGTTGTTTCATGGAGACTAAACGAGTCTTATCCTTGTTTCACAGAGAAGATTATTGGGCCCCAGCGCAGGAAGCTATGTCACTCTTGTCGGTCTCGAGAATTTCTATACTGAGTATGAAGTGCAGGTTCAAGCTTTCAATGAACTGGGCAACGGAAACCGATCACACATAGCCCTTGTCAGATCAGCTGAAGATCGTGAGTATCAGTATGTGTGATGTCACCGGTGTAAGTTTGTTGCACAGAAGGGTTGCTTTGCTCTCACACCAAATAGGAAAAAGTCCTCTAGCAATTTGGATGGTGAGGTTACAGTGAGTCATCTCGCTCTTCACAGTGGTAGCTAATGGTCACGTTGCCCTGGCAATGTTATGTGTACCTTTCCAGTACCTAGAGTGTACCTTACCAGTACCTGGAGCGTACCTTTCAAGTACCTGGAGTGAACCTTTCCAGTACCTGGAGTGTACCTTTCCAGTACCTCGGATGTACCGTTCCAGTACCTGGAGTGTACCTTTCCAGTACCTGGAATGTACCTTTCAAGTACCCGGAGTGAACCTTTCCAGTACCTGGAGGGTACCTTTCCAGTACCTCGGATGTACCTTTCCAGTACCTGGAGTGTACCTTTCCAGCACCTGGAGTGTACCTTTCCAGTACCTCGGATGTACCTTTCCTGTACCTGGAGTGTACCTTTCCAGTACTTCGGATGTACCTTTCCAGTACCTGGAGCGTACCTTTCCAGCACCTGGAGTGTACCTTTCCAGTACCTGGAGTGTACCTTTCCAGTACCTCGGATGTACCTTTCCAGTACCTGGAGTGTACCTTTCCAGCACCTGGAGTGTACCTTTCCAGTCCCTGGAGTGTACCTTTCCAGTACCTCGGGTGTACCTTTCCAGTCCCTGGAGTGTACCTTTCCAGTATCAGAGTGTACCTGGAGTGTACCTTTCCAGTATCAGAGCGTACCTGGAGCGTACCTTTCCAGTATCAGAGCGTACCTTTCCAGTAACAGAGTGTACCTGGAGTGTACCTTTCCAGTATCAGAGCGTACCTTTCCAGTAACAGAGTGTACCTGGAGTGTACCTTTCCAGTATCAGAGTGTACCTGGAGTGTACCTTTCCAGTATCAGAGTGTACCTGGAGTGTACCTTTCCAGTATCAGAGTGTACCTGGAGTGTACCTTTCCAGTATCAGAGTGTACCTGGAGCGTACCTTTCCAGTATCAGAGCGTACCTTTCCAGTAACAGAGTGTACCTGGAGTGTACCTTTCCAGTATCAGAGTGTACCTGGAGTGTACCTTTCCAGTATCAGAGTGTACCTGGAGTGTACCTTTCCAGTATCAGAGTGTACCTGGAGTGTATCTTTCCAAATTCCAGTATCAGAGTGTACCTGGAGTGTACCTTCCAGTATCAGAGTTTACCTAGAGTGTACCTAGAGAGTACCTTCCAGTATCAGAGTGTACCTAGAGTGTACCTAGAGCGTACCTTCAGTGTACCTTCCAGTTTGTTATGAATGAAATTATGAATTTTATGAATAGTGTAAATTGCATGACATGCGTTTCTAATATAGATTTTGAACACCCACAATATTTATACATTTTATTGCTACATTTTCCCTGCCCTCAACTGTGGTGATTGATACTCTAATCATTTATGTTCTATACTGATAACTTGTGTGCCTGTTCACCTGCTGCCATTATACACTCACTCACTCCTTGTGTCCTCAGTACCTGTTGGCACCCCCAGCGGCGTCTTCTACGCTGACAGCTTCAACAGCACCTCACTGGTGGTGTTCTGGAACCCCGTGCCCGACAACAAGAAGTTCATGAAGGGAAAGCTGATTGGATACAAGGTAACGATAGGAGGGTTACAATTGGGTTGTCATAGTAACAGGCCAGTTTTCATTTGAGACGAAGAGCTAGATTTAAAATTCAATTTTCAAAATTTTAAAACCAAATGTATATGCTTATGTATTTCTGATGTCTGTTGAACATTTGGGACCCAAGAGTGAGTGAGTGAGTTGTGTTTTACTCCACTTTTAGCAATATTCCAGCAATATCACGGCAGGGGACACCAGAAATCCAGGGCTTAACTCATTGTACCCATGTGGGGAATCGAACCCGGGTCTTCAGCGTGACACGCGAACGCTTTAACCATGAGGCTACCCCACCACTCCTTGGGAATTAAGAAAGCACAACGTATTTTAGTGACTCAGATGGTGATGTAGGTCGCCAGTATTTGCACTGCAGGTTGTGTCGCTGTAGCAGGATCAGCTTCAAAATGAGGCGCCCAGTCACAGATGTTTGTGATTGAGCTCCTGTTCCATCCCCCAATTTTATATCAAATAAATCACTTCAGGATTTCTTTACATAGTAGGTTTTCAAATACCCTGAGAATGGCTTCTCGTTACCAGCTATTTCACATCATAAGCCCACCATAATTAAGGCCCATAGGCTAATATTTAGAAAAAAGTCTGTATTGTAGCGGGAAAACTATTTTAAGCCAAACTTAAGAGAGTGGTCTCTCATTCAAGATGTCAAATGTTGAATTCTTTGCTGTATAGTTCATGGTTATTATTTAACTAGTGCAGGAGCAGGTTTTGGATGGTGGATGTGAACTGGTGGATCCTTGTTTAAGGTCCTTAAAGTTATGATGTTTTTTGGAAAAAAGGTCCTAGGAAATGTGAGTGAGTCAGTGAGTTTAGTTTTATGCTGCTTTTATGTCATGGGTATGTTTTGCAAACCAATGTGTGAAGCCCATTTCTGGTGTCCCCAGCCTTGATTACCTGTTGGAATATTGCTGAAAGAAGCATAAAACTAAACTCACTCACTCATTCACATTTTGTAAACTGAATATCTTGTCAGAAAAAGCAGCGTAAAACCCAGCTCACTCACTCACTCACTCATGACCCCTTATATATAATGGCATGGGATGTTAATCACTGTGTCCAATGTATCATCAAATGCAGGCTTCGTTATTTACATGCATCAGTCTGTGTCAGATTATATCATGCTGTATCAGTCTGTATCATTCTGTATCATTCTGTATCATTCTGTATCAGTCTGTATCATGCTGTATCAGTCTGTATCATTCTGTATCATGCTGTATCAGTCTGTATCAGTCTGTATCATTCTGTATCATGCTGTATCAGTCTGTATCAGTCTGTATCAGTCTGTATCATGCTGTATCAGTCTGTATCATTCTGTAATGTGCAGGTAAACTACTGGATGCAAGACTCGGAGAGACTGAGATCGAGGCCGTTCAGAGCATCTACGAAGGTCAGATAGACAACGCCCTTATTATCGGTTTGCAGCCAGACACGTGGTACACCGTCAACGTTCAAGTGTACAACTCCGCTGGAAACGGACCCAAGAGCGAGGACTACCATCAGAGCACAGACAGACTGGGTGTGTATTAATTGTTTGTAGCTGGTATTCACTTGATGCGTCCAGTCATGTATGCTGCAGTTCACAATACAGAGTTACATCCCTTAAGCATGCCAGGAACCTGTGATCATGTATTCCGGTCCCTTATTTCCCATTCATGTACCAAAGTAGTTGATATCTAAGATCACCAACACTTCGATATCTCAACCCCTTAAAACATAAAACACTCCATGTTTTGAAAACATGTATACCTGTTAACCCTCGGGCAATGTCAAGTATTTCTTCCAAATGATTCTATTTTGCTACAATATTACATTCATGAGAACTAGATAATCCTTAACACAGGCTTATGAATACTATGAAGATTTCAGGGAAAGTGGGGTAGCCTAGTGGTTAAAGCGTTCACTCATCATGCCGAAGACCAGGGTTCAATTCCCCACCTGGGTACAACCCCATTTCGGGTGTCCCCTGCTGTGATATTGCTGGAATATTGCTAAAAGCGACATAACACTAAAACTCACTCACACTCGCTTCGCTTATTATAAACACTTGATTATAAAATGTTGATCGCATGAAAAAAGAGATCAGCTCAGTCCATTGATACAACTTCAAAAACAGCAGTGACAGTGGGATAGCCTCAGTGGTTAAAGTGTTCACTCGTCATGATGAAGGCCCGGGTTCGTTTCGCCTCATGGGTACAGTGTGTGAAGCCCATTTCTGGTGTCCCCTCAGCTGTGATATTGCTGGAAAATTGCTACAAAAGCAGCATAAAACTTAACTCACTTCAAGAGAGCATAAACAGTCAATATGTTAGTCCTTCATATATTTGTAACATTGCTCACTATGAAGTCAAACTGAAAAATGTTTTTATCATGTGTAGAATATTTTTTGATTAATCAGATAAAGTTTTGAAATGGCGTCCTACTCTTCCAGCTCCCCAGCTGTACCCGACAGAAGTGCATGTGTTCTCCTACTCCAGCACCCAGGTGTATGTGTCTTTCCGTGGTGTGAGTACGCAGGTGTACGAGGAACCACTACAGGGGTATAAGGTAGGTGCAGGTGTGCCTGGAACCGTGATGTGTACACTGCCACTGGGGTAGGACAGAACCACATGGCAACATGTTGCAGTAGTGTAGTATTTTGTGTTCTTTTCTTGTTGTTGTCTCCTTTGGCCTGGGTCCTAGCTTGTTAGACCCGTGAAGATCCGGGGGACCGTTTCACAAAGCGATCATAGCGCTACGACTGTCGGAAGTCTATGTTAAAGTATGGGAGTTACGATCACCTTAGCGCTACGATTGCTTTGTGAAACGGGACCCGGGTTATAATTGGTCTTCAGTAACCCATGCTTGTCGTAAGAGGCGACTGACGGGATCGGGTGCTCAGACTTGCTGACTTGGTTGACACGTTATCTTATCCCTGTGTACATCGATGCTCATGCTGTCGATAACTGGATTGTCTGGTCCAGACTCGATTATTTACAGACTGGTGCCATATAGCTGGAATATTTCTGAGTGCGGCGTTAAACAACAACACTAGATACACTAAACACTATATAGTCTCCTATGGCCTAACTTGACTTCGGACTTGTTGACATCTCTGCCAGATTATCAGCCAAAGGGCCAAAACTGAGACAGGAGTGGTAAAATCAGCAAGATGAGGCCCCAAACAAGTCTTCTGGCAAAACCATTTGTACATGAAACTCTAACGGCATTCACCCTACTGTACAGGTTTCACTAAATGAAGGTCGGTGGGGTAGCCTTGTGGTTAAAGCGTTCACTTGTCACACCGAGGACTCGGGTTTGATTCCCCACATTGATACAATGTGTGAAGCCCATTTCTGGTCCCCCCACCGTAATATGGCTGGAATATTGCTAAAATCGGCGTAAAACCTTACTCACTCACTCACAAAATGAACTTGACTAATTGGACCCCCTCTAGGTGCAAAGAAGGATGATTAAAGGAGGTATTTTCAGGCGAAAAAAGGCTTCCCAATTGTGTAATGTTCTAGTTTCCCCGTTAGTCACTTCTTTGAAAACTTTTTGTGTGTTTGTAGGTGCAATACTGGCGTAATGCCGAGGATATTCGCAAGGCCAAGGTTGTGGACTGCGAGAAGAACAGCAATGCAATACTGGGGAACATCGATAAGGATATCATCTACCAGATGCGTGTGTTTGCCTACAGTCGCGGGGGGCAGGGGAAGATGAGTTCACCCGCAACACGCTTCACTCTTGGTGAGTAAATCCTGGACGAGGATGATGTAGACTCAAACATATTGTCATAGTTTATTTCTAATCTGCTTTGGCAGTTGAATTATCATTATCATCAATCATCATCATCATTAGTAGTAGTAGTAGTAGTAGTAGTAGTAGTAGTAGTACATAGTCATTCACAATCAGATGTACCCATGGGGATTATGGACAAGAGAGGGTATGCAAGTTACTTATTCTGGTTGTAAACATTGCTAAAATAGGTACAATGTGTGAAGGCCATTTAAGATGTCCCCAGCTATGATATCGCTGACTTCGTTAACACTTCATTGTATCCCAATTGCATAAATCAATGTCTGGTCCAGACTTGATTATTTACAGACCGCCACCATATAGCTTAAATGTTGATGTGTGTGGCGTTAAACAACAAACAAACAAACAAATATTATCTAAGGTCTAATTTTCACATAAATGATAAATTATTAGTATGATAAGTCCTCAATGCTGGTTGTCTGTTTTCAGGAGGTGAAGTGCGTATCGACCGCAGCACAACCATCATCATGGCAGGTGGCGCCAGTGTGCTTCCGCCATGTTGGTCACGGCGGTCTGTCTGCTTACTGCAATTGTCTTCATCTTCCGTGCCTAAGTTGTCCACAAACAGTGCTATTTTCATTCCTGCCAGTCTACAACAGATTCAACTCCAAAAATTCATGAATATAAAAAATGTTAACAATGGAACTTAATGAATGGTAAATTTGCTGTATTCGTGAATAGATACTGAACAAACCATTTGGGGTCATGCATATTTGAGACCATTTTTTAAATAAATTTTGTGCTCAGTTTTTACTTCACAAAAATATACATGATTCCTAACTTGTTTTGTTCAGTATATTGGTTCATGGTTGTGGACGTGAATAATTCCTCAGTCTATATGTGACAATGATATGATTTGTATTTGACGTGTTAAGATCAAATTAAGACCTCCCATCACAGCTGATTACCATATTCATCTAAACTGACATTGATAATATCATTTATTATTAATTATTTAGTAAATGTGATTTCAAAATCCAACCCAACACATTCCATATATTTACATATATATATATATATATGTGTGATACATATACCATCCATTTTATACCTAACATTGTACAGTTTTTACAATCTTTTACAATACGTATAAGTTTGCTAGTCCCTTTCCTTCTGCTGGGAAATTAGTGCGTCTGTTGCCATAATGTCTCGCGATTCTTTGCCAGTGTATCAAGTATTAAACTATTTATGCTTCGTGAAATTGAATCTTTTATTTTATGATTTGTATGTTCTAAAATTTTATTCATGTTTGTAAGCGTAACTAGATGCTGTTGAAAAGTGTGAAGTATTTTTTAAGAAAATGTCAGTTGTTTTGTAATTTTGTAATGTTTTTTTAAAAAGTGCATGTTTGTTCTTTTTTATTTTTCTGTGTAAAGGTTTCTGTTGCTGAACACTGTGTTTCTCTGTTCAGACCATCATCTTCCATAATGGTAACATTCAGAGTAATGATTAGTTTCTAGGGTAATAACATGATGGTTATGAAAGTGGCAACTTGGTCATTATTAGTCCTCTTCCTCATTTTTTTCTGTGAATGGGAGCATGTCAGACTAATGATTAGTTTCAAGGGTAATAACATAATTATTATGATGGTGGTAACGTCAGCGTTAACATTCCTCTTCCATATTTTCTTCATGTTGGGAGAATGTCAGAGTAATCATTAAAGTTTCAAGGGTAATAACATAATGATTATGAAACTGGTAACTTTATCATTAACATTCCTCTTCAATATTTTGTTCATGTTTAGAACATGTCAGTGTAATGATTAGTTTCAAGGGTAATAGCATGTGTATTGTGGTAATTTATGATGAAAATTTGCTTACACATTCTAATTATTCTATAAATAATATAGATATGAGTAGTTTGATGGGTAATAGCATCAAAGTGACATTTAATCATTGTGTCCTAATTTCATACTCATATTGTAAGAGCTATTACAAATAACAACACAACGACAACTATAAATTTGTTCCCTTTCGTCTGTAAAATAAATTCAATAGGATGTGCAGGTTTATGATCTCTTTCATGGAATTAAAATTAAATTTAGGGTGCAGAAATTGTGTGTAAAATTTAGGCATATATTTTTAGATAAAGTTATACAGTGTATTTCAAATTGAAATAATCTCCTGGCTTGTGATGCTTTCTATATTCATTTTACAGTCTCATCAATGCTACCAGAATTCCATATGTTTGCCAAGTATGTGTGCTTATGTCAGGGACTATTGTATAGATAGTACTTGCGTGGATAGATAGTAATGTACTGGTACATATAGTTGTAGGAGAGCTCTGTAGTCATCCATTCATTTACTTTCCATGTATTTTGTACAAATTGTATATAGTTTGTCATCGATTTTATTCATATAAACAGACATTGTGATTTCATGGAATTAAATGAATGCTGCATACTATACATGAATCAATATGTGGCACTTTACATACTTTATAAGTGTACAAATACTCTCCATTACATAGAAAATATTTTTCAAATTATATTTTTTAATCTTACCAAATGCACAAAATGTAACTTTCTGCTTTTCATATTGTTGCAGGAGAACATATAATTTGTTTCAGGAAAATATCATTTTCTATTAGCATTATGTTTGTATTCCTCGGTGATACGCCCTTTATAAATTGTCAGCGATCAAAGCTTCAAAGAATCTCACATCTTGAACAGCTGTTAATTCTAACTTTAATACTCTTTTACTCATAAACTGTTTAACCTACAGATCACAGGGATGTGAAGGTGACAGAAAAATATTCTGATGTGAAAATACTGTTTTTGAAGGTGAACTTCAGTAGCAAAAGATACTCATTTGTTATGCAATGTAAACAAAGAGATTTTCGGCACAAATTCCTGTTGTTTTGTGAAGTGTTCTACAAGAAAGACATTTTCTCCTCAGAACAAGGAGCATAAAAGAGTGTTCTGTGATTGTGTAATGACTCTCATTTGCATAATTTGATAAATGTAAATCAAACATTGCCCAGTTGGCTTTATCCCACTCAGCAGCAGTACCTGGTTTTACAGAATCTCAACTCATTGGGAGATTATGTTGAGTGGGTTGGAATTATGAAAAGGATTTTTGACTAAACAGCTGAGCATCTTCATTGAGCTCATATTATACACTGTTGAAAAGGAATTTGCAATATACAGCTGAGTATTTTCTTTGAACTCATAATATACACTGAAAACGTATAGGTTTTATAAACTGAATGTTTATTTGGATTTCATTGTTAATATGTTGAAGTTGTCATTTGCATGAAAACTCCATCTTTGGGAGTTTTTCCTTAAGGCAAACCACATGAGATCTTATTTCTGTTTAACAACTTATTTTATCGTTGGTGTGTATTGTATTAATACATGAACAAGAGTCGTTTACTCCTGCTGTCTTTTGCAAGAGTTGTCGCCCTTGGTTGACCGGAAATGACTATGGTACTTCACTTAGATTCTAATGGCAATACTCCTGTAAAATCAGTTTGTCTGTTTTGAGATGTATAAAGATTTGATAATGCACTGATTGTTTTCAATCATTGTTTTACATAAGATATATATCATTTTGTAACAATAAATAGTTTAGGATAATGTTGAGGTGTCTGTGTTCATTGAACTTTCCTAGAAAGTGGGACCGCCTCCGTGGTGTAGTGGTTAGAGCGCCCGCCCAGAGAGCGAAAGGTCGCGGGTTCGATCCCGGACCACGTCATACCAAATGAAGTTAAAATGTGGTACTTGTTGGCCCCTGCCTGGCGCTCGGCATCGGAGTCAGTATAATGTGTCTGAGTGGGATATTCATGCTTCACTGCAGCATGGTATCTCAGTGGGCTAGCACTATAAAACCAGCTTAAGTCTGGGCTAGTACAAGCAGCCGCACATGCACATACACACGCATGCACGTCGTCATATGAGGGAAATATTCTCAAGCACGACGTTAAACCCAATTTCACCTCACCTCCTAGAAACTGGATGGAATGGTGTCCTTGGTGAAATGAGTTCAGCTTGCCCACATGGCTTCTTTGATCAAGGAGTGAAGAGCCAAGTTGTCTAAAGGGTCACCAGTAGCTTTAGACATTTAGTCCAAGCAATATAGTTATCTTATTGAAAAAATATTAAAAATATATAAATCCACAAAACTAAACGCAACTGGATCCCGTAGCGATCCTCAGTTCCTAGATGTGAGTCAGTCTAGACTTGCCAAATCGTTCTAGGCTTGACTAGGACTGCTATTTAGTGTATTTAGTTGTACGCTAAGACTCATGTAACTCTACGTTAAGATAGTCTCCCTGATGGGAGTTACGATCAACTTAGCGCCTATTAGGTTGTTTTGTACAACAGCACCCAACTTCTGGGAGACAGAGTTGCATCCTGAAGAAGGACGAGGATGTCATCGGTTCAAATCCCAGATCACATCATAATGTATTTATTGCTTGATGGCGACGATACTGGTGTTGGTAATATGTCACTGGTGGCATAAGAAGTCCGGATGTGACATGGCTGAAATGTTCTTCAAAGCGGGGCTGCCTGTTATCCAGTGGGTGCACTGCTAACTCTGTGTCTCCCAGAAGTTGGGTGCCGTTGTACAAAACAACCTTAGCGCTAAGGTGATCGTAACTCCCGCTAAGGTGATCGTAACTCCCATATCTTAACGTAGACTTACGGCAGTCTTAGCGTTAAGATTGTTTTGATCAACGACAAACTGAATACACTAAATAGCAGTCCTGGTCAAGCCCAGAACGATTTGGCAAGTCTATATTGCCTCACATCTAGGAATTGAGGATCTTTACGAGATCCAATTGCGTTTATTTTGTATATTTATATATTTTTAATATTTTTAAATAAGATGACTATATTGCTTGGACTAAATGTCTGAAGCTACTGGTGACCCTTTAGACAACTTGGCTCTTCACTCCTTGATCAAAGAAGCCATGTGGGCAAGCTGCCCGGAGAGTTGTGCAGTTGTGCCCTTGACCACGCTAGTTACCTATGATAGCTCAAATCCCAGTTCACCGGATTGTGGGTTTTAACCAAGTGGAAATCTCAGAGATCTGCACCACTTCCGGTTTTCCTTCCACATTAAGCTGACTCACCGTGATGCAGCTGTAGATACTGTACAAAGCAGAGTTAAACTCAATTCACTGGTTTCACATCGCAAATTGGCTCTTTTCACCGACTCGTACTTTGATAAGACTTGTCCGGGGGTAGAACCATCGACCTTCTGCTCTCCGGGCGGATCTTTTAATCACTACGCCTGGGGACAGTCTTCAGTTGGAGAGGTGTGATCCATGGCCGTCAGTTGCCCATTTACAGCCCACAAGCCGATCTTAGCGCTTAGGGGATCGTAACATTCATACTTTAACCTTGGCAAGTGAGTGAGTGAGTTGGGTTTTACGCCGCTTTTAGCAATATTTAAGCAATATCACGGCGGATCTCGGCTGAGGTAGTGGTATAATTATGATGGCTTTGTAGAACGAGTCCCAGGTCTAGGAGTTGTAACTGGTGCCTTAAATACAATTGAGACCATATCTGTGGAACTGGCTATATTGCAGGGGCGGTGGGCTAGCCAAGTAGTTAAAGCGGTCGCTTGTTACGTCGAAGACCCGGCTAAGGTGCACTTATTTACTGCTTGGTTGATAGAAAAGATACTATTTGATAGAAGACGGACATACAGCGGAGGTGACCTAGGCACGAGCCTGGACGAAAAGAAACCAAGACGGAACTGGGACACTGGGCCAACGAGCAACGCGCCAAGAGATGACAGCCTATAAGTGCTCTGGTCAGGCTGTAACTGACCATTCCTTTAATATCGCGAATTGTTTTCTACTGTCCAGTACACCATATTGGTGTAAACATGGCTGAAATAAAACTTTAGTTTCTCAACTGTACTACGCCTTCTGCCATAATGTTAAACCGACTCTTCAAAGCAATATTCCTTCCAACTAAAGTCAGTTTATGCTTTATAGTGAATGTCACTTTCCCCCAACAGAGAGAAAGAAGTAAGAAAACAATGAATACAAAATAGAAATAACTTCACATAGATGAAACGTATGCCCTTCAATCAACCAAAGGTCATGGTGTTTAAACGAGATAAAAACTTGTGTTTGTTCTGTCAGACACCATATACCGGTCTGTGGTCTCTGGTTCAGTAAATAAATGTGTTCAATCAGCATGAGCATATCAAGAGGAAATGCACAAAGCTACATTCAAAGTGTTCTTTCATAATGTGTTTGATTTGTTAAAACAAATACATCTGTATACGCTACGACATTAACGCGCATTTTGAGCACGTAGGGGTTTACGATGAAAATATCTATGGATCATATTACTGTCTTGTTTTCGAGTTGTGACAGAAATCGGTCGAGGTGACAAAATCCAGCGTTTTCGTCACGGAGAGAATTGTGTGCAGTTATCCAAGTGTTAATTATGTTATGTACCCACCGCTGGTGACAGCACATGGGCTTGTAACGCTAAAAACTGCAATCAAGGTATGTAGTGTCACTAAAGGGGTCTTATCATTATATAAAAGGCTATAGTGATAAGACCCCGTTAGTGACACTACATACCTTGATGGCAGTTTTTAGCGTTACAAGCCCCTGTGGGTGAAAGAGTCTGGAGCCTAAAGCCGAGCCAAGAGGATATGAATGCTAAATACATAGGTGTACACTAACTCTATCCTTACAATAGGCAAGTCTAGATAAGCGGACAATACACTGATCTTTTAAGAACAACTTGTTCTTATTTTATATACAATCTGAAAATTATTATTTTCACTAATAATTATTGCCTCAGATACTTATGGAAGTCTAGCCGACTCCATACTGACCATAGATACGACGAGGTCTGGGGAAAATGACTGATTTCAACTTTGTTAATTATCTAAAAAACATTATAGACGTTATTGGAGCCTCGGTCTCATTTTGGTTGTCGTTCTATCCATAAACGCTTTCTCCCGCCAAGAAAATTTGACGATGAGTATTCACTCGTGAACGCAGTCTCCGCTGTAAACTTCCCACATCACGCTCAATGGTGTAGAGAGCTCAAAACCAGATTGGCTGGGATTCTGTCTGTATGATATCTGTGCGCATAATAAACTGCGCGTACCAACAAAGTAACCAGTAGTAATTCAAGAAAACGTAACTCTGTTCTTACTTCCTCTTACTCTGCACGTGTGTAAGTCAAGTTGTAAACAGAGATGTCTTTCTTTATTAGACGGTCAAACGAAAAGCGAACTTCGAAGGTAGGGTGAAGAAGGAGAACACACGATATATGTGACATAAAAAATTGAAATTTTGTCTTATGGCGAACATTATCAGCAATATAGTCTTCTGTGGACCGGCCCTCGAATCTGCTCTCTGAGTCTGAGAGAGTCTCTCACTTCAGAAACGTGCAAGGCAAAGTTTCTTGTCTCCGTAGTCTAGGGTAGTGTGGGATATGTCTCCCGTCCAGCTAGCTGTTTCCGTGAAACTGTCCCATAACCATGATAGTGATAATTAACTGCAGCAAATTTAAATAACCACCTGTTGGTGATAGCAGTGAATAAATATGTAGTACGGCGTGAGCAGGTGATTTCAATCCGTCACAAACTGATCTCAAGCAAGATTATACCTGATCACGGTCATCTTACTTAGAGAATTATTTTTTGGGTCTGTTTCTTGTTCAGTATTTAACTTGCTGGAGGCTTCAATACAGAGGACAAAATGGTTATGTGAATATAGGTACATTTCATAGGCATTTGTTTGGTTAACAAAGCAATTCTGTATGTGTTTGTTTCCACAAACATGTTGTTTTGGTGGGTTTAAAAAAAATAAAAAAATATGACGTGGTACCTGCTTAACATGCTTAAGGGCTACCATTTCCTGCAAACTATTATTGGATGTTTGTTTGGTGCTGAAGATCAGCCTCTGAGAATTCCCTGTAATGGAACTTGAGATTCACAACCTGGTTGCAGAGTAAACTCAAGAAGCCAGCTGGACCAGTGGGGAAGAAAGATGCAGGTCTGAGATATGCCAGGAAGAGAAAGGCTTGGGATGAAGAGATTGACAGTGAATCTGAGGTCGACAGGTACACGACAGGTTTTGTTGTTCATGTCAGACGTATGGTTGCCAAATATACCTCATTCCCAGGGTTGGTCTGGGTTCAAATCACTTGCACTGGCTCATGCTTGTTGTTGAAGATGTATTGAAATGGGTGGTCAGGCTTGATGCCTCATCATATCACTGATCTGTCTGGTCAACAGTGCAGTGCCACCTACTCGTGAAGATCCGGGTTAGAATGAACCTTCAGTAACCCATGCTTGTCGTAAGAGGCGACTAACGGGATCGGGTGGTCAGGCTCGCTGACTTGGTTGACACATGTGATCAGTTCCCTATTGCGCAGATAGATGCTCATGCTGTTGATCACTGGATTGTCTGGTCCAGACTCGATAATTTACAGACTGGCACCATACAGCTAGAATATTGCTGTGCTGAGTGCGGCGTAAAACTAAACTCACTCACTCACTGGTCCAGAGTAACTAAGAGTATTTATGGGCTTGTTGAAATATTGCTGAGGATCGTGAAGCAACAAACTACTAGGGTTGCAACGAATACACT